GTAAAACTCACTTCCACACCTCTGAACTTTAATATACGAGTTTACTATTAATACAATCACTCTATCTATTTTGGCAGCGTGCACAAAATCTCTAATAAAAGTAATCCCCTTGGTTATGTCCTTTAATAACTATAGGACCCAAAATTTCATACCGACCATCCAAATACACAATCAACCTTACCAGTCCTTAAAAGGGTCATACCAATGGGCTTTCGACGACCATATTTGTAGACAAACTCAGAAAGCGTTAACTAATGTTCTCATTTGTCTATATTATCTAGGGTTCCTTTTTGTTGCATGTACTTGTTATAACGAATAAACCCTTTATCAACTTATTAGTTATGACCCCAAATGGAAATAAACTTCCAACACAACGTTGGTACTCCCGTAATATTATTTACAGAAGAATCTCCCTACGACCACTTTAGTATGAAAAGTGACTACACAAACTACTAATGATCTCTATTGATTATACATAATAACGAACATACGCGATACTTTAAAAAAATAAAGATGGCTATAACCATTGTTATTCCTCTCCTTCATCTTGACAATCTATATTTCGATACACCCTATTCCCCAGTCTGTCAATTTCTTCAGCTATGATCATGTTTCATTCGGGTGTGAATCTTCTTTGCCTTTGTCGAACGGGCTTGAAGTTTGGGTCTACATTTAGGCAGTGACAAGAGAGGTTGGGTTTGACCAATGGTATGTCTAGGTGACTCCAAGCGAATACATCGAGGTTTTTTTTGTTAAGATTTCAATCAGCCTTCATTTCTCTTCCTCAGTTTGCATTAATCCTACCTTGGTGGTTCTTTATAGTGCGTGGGGGTCGATCTGTACTTCCTTCAATGTGTCCTCTGTGAGGATTGGCTCCTCCACCTTAGCATCGACCCTTTCTTAACTGGATGAAGGGCTTTGAAGTTGCTATTTAAGATCCACGAGGTGGGCGACTATTTTGCCCTTTCCGTTGGACTTCATTGTTATCGTGTATCATTCTTTTATGGCGAATTGATCATACCAGATGTCAATTACTTCATTTCTGTTTGGGCTCAGGCATTTTATGACCTGGTGTAATGTGGATGGAATTATTTGGACGCGGTGAATCCACCATCTCCCCATCAGGAGGATGTAAGAGGGATGGATGTCCACGATGACAAAATTATCCTTCAAGTTTCTCCGTGCTGCACAGATCAGGAGTTCCAACTCCAATGGGTTCCACTTATTTTCCATCAAACCCTACAAAAGGGTTCCCCGTTGGCCTTATCTATTTCGAATCCACCATAAATTGTTCAAATGCTACCTTGCCACCATTAGGCTGATCACTAATGGGTCCTCATGTGGGGTTTTCACCCTAATAAGGTTTGCTTTGTCGAACCTAATTAATGTTGTGCTGTCTTCCTAATGGACGGTATTAACACTTCCTAGCTTCCTCATTTTGTGGGCCTACCTGAGGCTTGTTTAATGGAATGATTCGGATGGGTTCACCTTCTTGAGGACGCGCCCTTGGATTTCCCCTTATCTGCTCGGTCGGGCGTGCCTATTCCTTGGCATGCACATAGTTGGCCAAGTCGCCTTTTACAATTTGTGTTTCAACGTGTCTCCTCAAGTTCCTACACTCATTCGTCTACTACCCAAAGTCACTGTGGAATGCATAATACTTTGACTGATCCCTCTGCTTAAGAGGCTATTTGATCAATTATGGTGACCGGAACTTTCCCTTATTCTTTTGGTATAATCGTGCAAGGGTTTTTGAAAGAGGGGTGATCGTCTCAACTTCTCGCTGCCATTTCTCAGCCTTCCACGGACCCGCTCGAGGTTGGGTGATCAGTGCCTTAAAGGCAGACATTTTGGCTCTTGACCAGCTCTCCACTGTAACCATTGTTGCTTTTTTTGTGTTAACCGCCTCTTCCTCCTCTAGCTGTATGTAGCCTTTTGCCCTCAAGTTGAGGATATCCATAGTCGGTGGGGATTTCTTCACCAAGGACGTGTGAAACTTAATCCCTCGTATCATTGCCAGTGTGAACACCTACACTGCCGAGGATGGATGACAGTCGACCACCATGCTCATTTCTAGGTTGAACCTGGTGAGGAAGGCTTGAAGTCGCTTGCCTCTTGTTGTCTTATAGTAAACAAACTGGATATTCGATTTGCCGATTGCCATAATACTAGCCTATAAACAAGTCATATAGCTTATGGAAGCTTCCCACTGATCATTTAGGCAAGTGCTCGAACCAGCTGAGCACTGGTCTAGTGAGGCTCGTCGGGATAACCTTACACAACAAGGCATCATCCTCGGTGTCCAAGGCCGTCTTTAGCTGGATGTGATATATATACTCTGTAAGGTCTTTAGTTCCATCGAATGGCATAAACGTCGGCATGTTGATGCGAACTTCCCTCTCCGATCATGGTTTTTGATCGAAGCTGAGTCATGGCTCAACGTGGAAATCGACGGGTCTCTCATTTTTGTTTCCCACAGACGGCGCCAAATGTAAGAGCAAGAAAAATTCTCTTTCTATTGATGGAAAGTCATTTCTCTTACACCAAACACTACCATTTTTCTTCCCTTCCTTTTCTCTTTATACACTTACTCCCACTCCCTATTTCTAGAAACTTTGTACATGAGCTCTTAAGCTAGTGGGTTGTGTCTTTCTTTTTTGGACCAGCCCAATCTTTCATTAATCCTCTTTTTGGGCTTCATGATGCTTCCGGCCTGGGTCGGCCTTTGGAATGGGCTTTGCTTGATTACACGTGGAGGCCGGCCGTTAGCATTTGTTTGTTCTCACGCTTGGGGCTATTTTAGCCCTTTCAATGCCTTGAAGGATTAAATTTCTTTTAAATTAGCCAACCATACCGTGCGGCCAAGTATCAACTGTCAATTATATTTCCATGATTTAAAAGCTCTAAAAAATAATTGCATTAAAGTTATGAAGTAATTTCTTTTGATTAAACAACATTATTATTATTAAAAAATAAAAAAAAAAATTGACAAAAAGCCTTTGAGCCTCCGTGGAGGCATAAAAAAATTTGAAAGAGAAAGATTCAAAAAAAAAAAGGAAAAAAAAGAAAAAGACTTCTCCGGTTGAGGTCATCTTGGGGTTCTAGTCCGCCACTACCAAATTGATTTATTGTGTGGCTCTCACATAGTACATAACTTTTAATATATTTATCATTATCCTTTCAGGAAGAAAAATAATATTTTTTTTAAAAAAAAGGTATTCCCTTCCTTTCTCTAGTGAGGATAAAAAAAAAAAAAGAGTAGAAGTAGACTTGTTAGCTGTTTATCTTTAGACTAATGTTGTTGTCGTTACATGCATTAATTTGACAAAAAAACAGAACATCCCACTTAGGTTATCACTTGTGGAAACTTAATTTATTGAAATATATATTTGTGATATTTTTGGCACTCTGATTATGGCCTAACCTCTATTTGTCGTATGCGAAGTAAAATTATATGATATTTTGGCACTCGTATAACGTGATTGTCGTTATATAATATTATTATAAAATTGAACTTTTCATTTAAGTCATTATTCATACATTTGTTTCTCATAATCTAATTTGTTGATCACAGTTGTGACACTATCATGTGAAACGTAGCAAATTCAGGTGTGAATGTGTGACTTTATTTGTCATTCGTGAAATTAAGTTGAATGAATGCACTATAATATATATATATATATATATATATATATATCATGACGAAGAAGTTTAGTTTTTTAAATAACGTGATTGTAAAAAGTGAACTTTCAAGTTGAATTATTACCAATTGATTTGCTTAACTGGTGCTTTGTTGTTTTTTTCTTGATGACATTTGTGACACTTTCATAAGACATGACAAATTCAGGAACGGCTACAAATGCACTACATGATAAAAACATAAAACAAAAATAATCATCACGAGGGATAATATCGATTCTTGAAGTAACATGATTTTTCACTTTTTAATTCAATCATAATCAATAGATTCTCATAACTCAAAAGTTTATTTTCTTGATGACAGTTATGGCACTTTAACATAGGGCTGCAATTTGGGCGGGCCCAATCCGAAATAATCCAAGTTCAGCTCTAAATTTTATGAGCTTGGACAATGTTTTTCTAATTTTGGTTTGGGTCTAGGCTATATATTTTGAGTCCGAATTTAATTCGGGCTGGGCTTGGGTTGATATTGATGAAGCCCGAAGCCCAATCCGAACTCGAAAATATTATATGTATTTGTAATTATACTCAAGTCACAAGAGTGTAGTAGTTAATGTGGTAGTGTGCTTAAGATTTATATTTAAAGGTTTTGTATTCAAGTCATAAGAACAAATTCTATCTATTATACTGTAAAGTGGTACAAATGCATTCTACAACAAGAAAATGAAAACTACCATGAGTTTGTTTTCAAAAGTAAACAAGAAGACTCTTGCGGTAATGGAGAGCTACTAGTCCAATTCCTAAGCCTTGGGGACTAGGCAACAAATTAATCATAAGACATATGCATCTATGAATTTGACTTTTTACCAACAATAATGGTTTTCGGTATGACGATTAATGGGTTATTCCTTCTCCCGTATACTTGATTTTACTTTCAATGAAGCTCGAACACCCGGTCTCCCTTTTGGGGAGAAGGCCTTGTATGGCTATTGCACCTTTTGTCCCCTCTTTTAGAGTAGTGTTTTTTTTTTTTTTTTTTTTTTTTGAAAGACTTGAGTGAAAAACGGATCAAATATTTATAATGTGAGTTATGAAAATCAATTAAACTGATCTTTTCTTTGGAAATAGGCCTTCTCTTTTGAAAATAAATAAACTGCTCTCTATGATGCATGCATATGTGGAACAATTGAAGGGTATTCTGAAGAACTTTGTCATCGGGGTGAGCTTGGGTAGCCTGGTAGAGGCACTTCTCTGAGCCGTGCTCAAATGATTTAGCTTACACAGTACAATCTCACATTATATGTTTGGCACCTTTTTTCCAATAAAATGCTCAGACGTTTTTCTCGTATCAAGAAAAATAATTGCATCAAATGAAAGTCAGACACCATCTCTTTTATTGTATTGATATTCGATAGGTATTGCCAAAAAATGAATGAACACATAGGTTTCAAGTTCGAATGACAGCCAATAGGCCAATAGCCCTATCTCCTGATCTATAACATGTTTATGCCACCAGATGATAACAATTTTGCATTATACCTTCACAGTGAACAAATAAAGCTTTAATACGACAGCCAAAGCCACCTGCAACAGAAAGATCCCAGCCACAATCAAGAACCACCTCTCATTTGCAGCCTTAATGTGGTTTCGGAGATTTAGTGCAACAAAGGTTGCCGACATGAACCCAGCTACACCAGCAACCACCCATCTAAACGCTTCCAACGGAACAACAGATAGACACTGCCACCGAAAAAACAAGAATTTTAGTGAGCAAATAGATTTGTATCTCAAATAAAATGAATTTTTCAGCTCAGAACAATGGATCAGGTGAAAATTTTCTATTCTTGGCCCTTGCATGGAATTTTCCTACAATTGAGCATCATGTTGCCTCTGTGTGTGTGTGTGTGTTTTTCAGCTCAGAACAATGGATCAGGTGAAAATTTTCTATTCTTGGCCCATGCATGGAATTTTCCCTGTGTGTGTGTGTGTGTGTGTGTGATAAACTGAAAGCATAAACCCTTACCAGAGCAGGAATAAAGACAAACAGGGAGTAGCCGTAAAGACAGAACAGCTGAACGAGGCCAGATGGGGCAGAGAAGTATTTGAGGATTAAATACAAGCAAAGAGGAACAACGGTGACATAACCATAGAACAAACCAGCAGACCATGTCACCAGATTTATGTCATAGTTCCATTCTTTATTCCGAAGCTTGTGCGCTAAGTATGTAACGAATGTGCCAATGGAAGCCGCCACAAATATCAAGGTAGTGCATATCCAGAATGGTCCATATCTGCTCAGGCATAGGAAGTTATAATAAACCATATGTCCAAATGATGGACAGAGACGAACATACATAATAACATATAACCATAAAAAGAATATGGGCCTTTTTTCCACAAAACAAACAAAAAAAAGAAGAGAGAGAGAGAGAGAAGAGAGAATAGAATATGGACTTGCTAACTTTTACTAAGCCAGAATTAAGTGGCAATCAGTTAAAAAGGGAAATCATAGCACTGCAAAATGTGAAGTTAAACTTGCATATATATATATAGCCTTAGAGTGTAGTGGTGAAACAATGTTCACGTAGCCAGTCAAAAATAGTTGGGAGAAGGCTTTTAAGAGTCGAATAGATAGATATTTAGGTACAAATTTGTTTCTTATTTCCTTATAAGATAATTTTCATGTTTAAACCTCATTGGAATTTACTCCTATCTGTAACAGGGAATCATATAGATGTTTGGGCATGAAATTTGTTTCTCTTTTCCTTATACAACAACAATCAAGCATTTTCCCAATTACTTGGGGTCAGCTACATAAATCCCATGTTTCCATTTCGCTCTATTTAAGGCCATAGTCTCAATCAATTCACATGCTATCATATCTTTATTTACTAACTCTACCCACGTAAACTTTGGTCTTCCTCTTCCCCCTAGTATTACCCCCAATGTGGACAATGTCACTTTTATTAACTGGCGCACTTAAAGGTCTTCTTTGCACTATCTTAACTGTTTTCTCTCATTTTATTTTCAATTGGTGCTACTCTAACCAACTCCCAAATGTGTTCCTATCTAATTCTGTCCTTTCTAGTCTTACCGCACATCAATCTCAACATTCGCATTTCTGCCATTCTCTTTTCCTTATCTGTAAGATAATTTTCATGATTTGAACCTCAAATGGAACTTACTCCTATCTGTAACATGGAACCATATGAGGCTCTCATATCAAGGTTATAAGAAAGATGGTCCAAAATTGAGTTTAAAGTACTTCAATCAAACTCCTACTCTTTACTAGGCATAGAGCGGTAATCTTGGAAATAATGCAATTTTGTCTCTGAAATTGTCCCTTTATGTCAGTTAGTACCATTTAATTGTAAGATTTCTCAGTGAAAATAGTACCAAAACTACCTAAATTATAATAGTCAAAATCCACAGTAATGCCGTAACAAGTAATTTAAAAGGAAAATATGTAATATACAAAGAATTCATCCATCACCAAGCGTAGAACCTAATATATATAATAACTCAAATCCAAATTAGTATCATTAAAGTTATATTGAAATAGAACTGGCAGTAGTGCTACCTGGGAATGAGTATAAAACCTCTGCTAGGGTTTTTCAGGAAGGAAAAGAGCAGAAAAAAGAACAGAGGACGAGAATGAGAAAGATGAATATTTTCAAAATAGAGGATGCAAAAAGGGTCATCTATCCCCCTGATTGCAGAAGAAAGTTGAACAAGGTAAGAGAAGAAAAGAGGAAGAATGGAAGGGATGGAGATGCAGATAGAAGACCAAGAATCTTCAATAAATTCTATTAAATTTCAATCAAAAGATGAACAAGGTAAGAGAAGAAAACAGGAAGAATGGAAGGGATAGAGACGTAGATAGACCAAGAATCTTAAATAAATTCTATTAAATTGAAGATCATCAGCATAGTGCCTTAATTGAACCTTTATATAGGCTTAGTTCCCAACAGTAATAGTAACAAAAGCTGCCTAACCTTGTAAGACACTATATCACAGTGGATCGGCAAGAATAATTCTAAAAATCTATTCCAAGCCTCATTGCAATTTTAATCTTTCATTCGCAAATACAAAAATAAAAAATTTAACAGATTGTCAATGAAATCAAAGTTCTAACCTATAATCCATAATTCCAATTCTATTGCAGTTTGGGACAAAATCATTTTAATTACTTGTAATGGCAGATCATAGTAATACAACAAACAACAAAATCTGTGCAGTGATCTTTTCAGTTGTTCAACCACATTCTACCCTCGCTTCTTTAGAGCCTTGTGAAAGGCCTCTATTGCTGGGTCTTTCTCTAATGCTTTCTCCTTTCCTTTGGCATTCCATGGTTCTAAAATTGCCAGGTTTAAACCATTATCCCGACCTAGTCATTTTTCCATCTCAGCACATTCTTCACCCTCTTTCTTCTCCACTTACAATGCTTTCTCCTGGTTTATTCCTCTAACACTTGCTCTTCACCAAAAAACTTCTAAATTTCCTTGTCCAGTTTATGGAAGTAGTATCATTTCCTGCATGCTGATGATAGTAAACCCCAAAACTAAGTAATTTTACGAAGTGCATGGACTTAAAAAGTGTTGATTACTTGTGCAACTTTATGATTCACATCAAAGTACTACTTTATGATTTGCATCCTGTGACCCAAAAGGTGACGATTCAAGAGTGATGAAGGATGTAGTGCCCTGAAAATATGCCAGAAATGAAGACAGAGCCAGACAAAGTGCCGGAGATAAATATGATTCCTATGTGTGTGTATCATGGATACTCAAGAATCTTTGAAAACTTCCAATCCTTACATTTTTTCTTAATTAAGCTCTCGAATCTCAAAGCAAGGCCACAGGAGTGTCGTGTGGCTCATTTCCTATAATGTGTTGAACATAAACCAGTCCTACTTGGTATGGCCCCATCATTGCATTTTCTTAAAATAAGCCAAAGAAGCTCAAAGCAAGAGCAGGTGTGGGAGCACCACCGAAATGTCAGTAGCCAAGGGTCAAGAGTTAGGAAACTGAAAGGTTCTTTTCATGTAGGAAGGACAAGATATACAAAATTCTAAATGCATAGACTGCTCACAATCAAAGATACTGACATAAAGGTAAAACATTTACATTACAACAAACCTGAAAATCTTTTTCACAAACATATCTAGGATTAGTATACAAGAGACCAGAAAAATAGTAATTTCTCATATCGCAAAAAGAAGAATTAGATGACTTTTTCTTTTAGTATCAAAAGTTAAAGAAAATGGAAATTATCTATACGACAAGTAAAAATGGAAATTTGAAATTGCTGTCAAATGCCTTTTACCTTGTACAAAAAAAAAAAAGACTCAAGTTTCATGGTAACTTAAATTTGTGTTAGTTTAAGATCTTTTTCATTGTGGACTTATTCTCTTAACCACAAGTCTAACATAGTTCGAAGTGGTAAGCATAGATCCTGGGGTAAGTTTGTCAAGGACGGGGAAGGGTTCAGCAATAAGAACAGGTTGATTGGTCATCTTTGGATTGGCAACTCAAGATTATTAGAGATTGAAGAAATTTCTGGAGACCCTAATTGACAAATTCTGCCATCTTCTCAAGATTAGGTAGTTTTCCAAGTTCACCTTCACCATGCTTCTTGATTTGAAATGGGGCATTTAAAGAGGTGATATATAGCAGGACCAAGGGAATTCTTCAATAAAGAATCTTCCAATGAGGCATGAGTGTTACCAAGACTCAAATCAGTGGACTTCAAGAAGCATTCTTGTGCAAATTGTGGCATTATTTGTGGGAGGAGTTGAGTGGGGTGAAGGGGAGGTGGTCTCTTCCTTGGTGTGTGGCCGGTGATTTTAATGTGGTTAGATCACCAGCAGAGAGATCTACAGGTGGTTCGTGGACTCAAGCTATGATGCATTTTTCTGATTTTATTGATGGTCATCAGCTTATTGATCTTCCTCTTGAGGGAGCTTCTTTTACTTGGTCCAGCGGGAGGGAATCGCCAACTTTTTCTCGGCTTGATAGATTTCTGATTTCCAGCGGCTGGGAGGAGAAGTTCCCGGATGTTGTTCAAGCTGTGCTGGCTAGGGTTACGTTGGACCATATCCCCTTGGTTTTGGATTGTGGAGGTTTGAGATCTCGTTGCACTCCTTTTAGATTTGAGAACATGTGGCTTCGAGCGGATAATTTCCAGGTCTCTTTGCTTTCTTGGTGGGAGGAGAACCCGGTGGTGGGTACGTCCAATTTCATTCTTGCAAGCAAGCTTCGACTCCTGAAGAATAAGCTCAAAAGGTGGAATAAGGAGGAGTTTGGGAATTTGGAGTGGAAGAAGAATAGGGCTTTGGCTGATATTGCCGAGATCGATAGAATGGAAGGGGAGGGTGTTCTTTCTGAGTCTCATCGCACTAGGAGAGCAGCTTGTCAGGCAGAATGTGTGGAAATTGCTCTATTGGAGGAAATCTCGTGGCGCCAGAAATCTCGGGCCTTATGGCTCAAAGAGGGGGATCGTAATACCAAGTTTTTTCATAGAACTGCTAATGCTCATAGGAGGGGCAACCATATTGGGCGACTGTCTGTGGATGGTACGGTCTTGTCTACAGAGGAGGAGGTCTGAAATGGTATTGTCTCTTTCTACCAAAGGCTTTATTCTGAGCCTCTTCGATGGAGGCCAAGGCTTGATGACCTTCATTTTGACTCTATCTCTGTTTTGGAAAGGGATGGGCTGGAGGTTCCCTTTTCGGAGGTGCTGAAGGCTCTCAAGAGTTGTAATGGCGATAAGGCTCCAGGCCCCAATGGTTTTACTATGAGATTTTTGCTGGAAAGTTGGGAGGTGGTTAGGCTTGAGATTATGAGCACTTTTCATGAGTTTCATTCCACGGGGAGATTTGAGAAATCACTGAACGCATCCTTTATTGCCCTTATTCCTAAGAAGGGTGGTGCTACTAATGTCAAGGACTTTAGACGAATTAGTCTGATTGGGTGTATCTATAAGATCATTGCGAAAGTCCTTGCGCTTAGGCTGAGGGAGGTGCTTGATGGAGTTGTTTCTGAGTCTCAGAATGCCTTTATTGGGGGTAGACAGATTCTGGACTCGGCTCTCATTGCCAGTGAATGCGTGGATTCTAGACTTAGTAGTGGTGTTCCTGGTGTTCTTTGTAAGCTGAATATCGAAAAAACCTACAATCATGTCAGTTGGAATTTCCTGTTGTATCTGTTGGAGAGGATGGGTTTTGGTGCGAAATGGAGGAAATGGATTACTACATGTGTTTCCACTGTCAGATTTTCGATTTTGGTTAATGGGTCTCCTACGGGATTCTTCGGTAGTTCTCGAGGTCTGAGGCAGGGGGACCCTCTTTCCCCATTTTTGTTTATTATTGTTATAAAGGCCCTTAGTAAGCTGATGAGAAGGGCTGTGGATTTGGGGTTTATTAGGGGTTTCAAGCTCGGCCCTGAATCGGTTCAGCAGATGGAGATTTCTCACCTTCTTTTTGCGGATGATACTATTGTTTTCTGTGAGGCAGAGGTGTCCCAGTTGCAGTATTTGAGATATGTTTTGGTTTGTTTTCAGACTGTCTCTGGTCTGAAAGTCAATGTGGGTAAAAGTGTGCTTGTCCCTGTGGGGGAGGTGCAGGATGTGGATTCTCTGGCTGCTGTTTTAGGCTGTGGGACGCAACGCTTCCCTATTTCTTATTTGGGTCTACTGCTGGGGGACTCGGCTAGGAGGGTGGGAAGTTGGGACCCGGTGATTGAGCGGGTCGAGAGAAGATTGGTTGGTTGGAAAAAGCAATATCTCTCCAAGGGTGGAAAAGTCACGTTAGTGAAGAGTGTTTTGTCAAGCCTTCCAACATACTTTCTCTCGCTTTTTAGGATTCCAACCTCTATTGTGGGAAGACTGGAGATGCTCCAACGGAATTTCCTTTGGGGGGGTCGTGGGGAGGAGTTTAACTATCATCTTGTCAAATGGGATCAGGTTTGTAAGCCTCTTCAGCTTGGTGGTCTCGGAATTAGAAGACTGGCCCCTTTTAATAATGCTCTTCTAGGCAAGTGGCTTTGAAGGCTCGGCAGCGAAAGACATAGATTATGGAGAAAGGTCATTTCTTGTCGTTTTGGGGAGGAGAGAGGGGGGTGGTCAGCTAGGCCTGTTAGGGCTGCTTATGGTGTGGGGGTGTGGAGGTCCATTAGGAAGGGATGGGATGAATTCTCCAAACACATCAGATTCAGAGTTCGGGATGGAAGATTTGTCAGGTTTTGGGAGGATTCCTGGTGTGAAGATAGGCCTTTGGCTCTGTTGTTTCCAAGATTGTTTAGGATTGCTGTTGACAAACATGCTATGGTTACTGACTGCTATCGTCTTGATAGCGGGACGTTGTCTTGGGATGTGTGATTCAGGCGACCTTTTCAGGATTGGGAGTTGGATGATGTCACTGGATTGTTGGCCCTTTTGTATAGACAGGAATTGGATGGCACTGGTGTGGATTCCTTGTTTTGGGTGCCTTCTTCTAATGGGACGTTCCAGGTCCGGTCATTCTTTGTGCGCCTTCTGTGGGTTTCATGGGTTGCCCTTCCCGTGGAAGACGGTGTGGCTCTCTAAGACGCCCCTTAGGGTGGCCTTTTTTGTGTGGACTGCAGCTTAGAGTAAGATTCTGACTTTGGACAATTTACGGAAGAGAAGACATATCATTATTAACCGATGTTGTCTTTGCAAGTGTTTTGGGGAGTCCGTGGATCATCTTCTGTTGCATTGTCCTGTTGTTTATGAATGTTGGAGTCTTTTGCTTGGTTTGTTTGGCATCCATTGGGTCATGCCTCAGACTTCTCGAGGATTACTTTATATCTGGAGGGGCCAATGGGTGGGAGCTCAGGCTAGAGACTTCTAGAGGGTGACCCCTCTTTGCATTTGGTGGAGTCTTTGGAAAGAGCGGAACAGAAGATCTTTTGATAAGGAGTCCTCTATTGGAGAGCTGAAATTTTCTATTATTTGTACCCTTTTTTGTTGGGGTTGGGGGAGGGATTATTCTTCTTTAGAGGACATTGTTCATAGATTCTGTTTGTGTATATCTCAGGACGTGTTCCCCTTTTGAACGCTTTCTAATACATTTTACTTATCAAAAAAAAGTTTTACCTAGCATCAAAACCATTGACATAAAGTAGCATTTCTATGCAAATTGTTGAACAAAAAAGAAACAATATTATTTTCAGTTAAGCCATCATCGTGTTCTAGTTTGGAGGTTAATATCCAAGCGAAAAGATAGCCTCTCATGCTTCTGTTTCTACTTCTCACTTTCGAAACTTCTCTTTCTTTAGTGAAAGGAGTTATCATGCTTCATTTTGTCCTTTTTCCTTCCCACCGGTAAAGATTGTTTCTTGTACTATCAGAAAGAAGAACAGAACAATTTTCTTCAACATGTTGAGGCTATGGTTGAACAAAGTATATGTAATTTAATTTTTCTGTTCTGAAAATTTTGTAAAATAACCTTCCCACACCTTTGATTTATGGAAAACCTGTTTAAATAATGAACAATTAATTCAATATCTTTTGGGGTAGTAAATGTGTACATTGCTCATGCAAATTAATATTAAGTGTTAGCATATATGATACCACAATTTATAGTATGACTTACCATAATAGCAGAGATTTGACTATGCATACGTTAGCATATATGATAGCCACTATTTATGGAATGACTTACCATAATAGCAGAGATTTGACAATGCTATAGAATATGCCATAGAATATGCTTCAGAATAAGTTGTGATTTGATTTAGATTTGATTTAGTTTCCTTTCTTGTAATATGAGCATGTGTTCATTTTATCTATAAACACTAGAGCTATGAATGAGTAATTCATATTATTCAAGCCTTTACGCAATTCTCTCCTTTCTCTTCTTTTTATATTTCTACTTTAAGAAATGTTGCACCCATAATTCTTTTCCAGAAAACGACAGTTGCCCAAAGGACCATAAAAGTATAAACAACATCATTTAGACTTTCTACAGAATTGAGAATCCATAATATTTTACTTCACAACCAACATCAGCTTTTTCTGGGATTATTAATTTCTAAGAAAAGAATCACACATCTCTTACGACACATAGCTTAATAACAGTACTTTTATTTGCTTTAGGTACCACAATCTGATAAAAAAAATTTACTTTAAAAAGAATAATAAAACAGGTTATGTCAATTGTCAACTCAAACTAAAGAGACAAGAAGTGAAATTTTCCGCCTTAAGTGTAAAATTTTTTAATCAATTTCAAATTTGCAAATGAAATGTTTGAAACCCAGCGAGAACTTACAAATCTGGGTTATTAGCAGTCTTTTCAGAAAAGCTTCCTTTGAACGGAAAAAGTGAATCTTTAATCCTCTCTAGGACATCTGATGTGTCAACATCAAAGTAGGGCTTATAAGCAGCAACTGTGAATGTCCGGAACCAACCACTTGGCTGAGGTTCATCAGAACCAGACACTGGTTTTGAAAATGTATCTACATCAACCAAAATAAACAAATTAATAAAAAAAATTATAGTTTCAGACACTTTTTTTTAAAACAAGAAACAAAATTCAAATCGAAACACAGAAAATGACAGGCCCAATCAGAGAACAATGCAACTTTCTAGCCAAATCAACTTCTTCTTTCAAGGAACTAAAAGTCCCCAAGTATCCCCCATAAAAATTTCACTCAATTCAATATATGGACGGGGATCCAGTATAGGTGTGGGGTGAGTTTCAGAAGAACATCTGTTTGTAGTGGAGAACTAACAATGGGTTAGAATCCGTTGCAATGATAGCGCGTAAAGAACGTTTTGCCAGATCATTTATAAACTGCAGTGAAGAGTCATTTATGGCAGACCATTTGACAACCAACGATGGTCGATGGTCGATGGTCGAGTGGTGTGAGAGCTTTATATATTTTATCCATAACTGCTGTTTGAATGTGTAAGGGAGAAAAGGAGACGGTGAACCATTTCCTATTGCATTGTGGAGCTGTTGTAGAGGTTTGTTCTCATATTACTATTTAGAACGGCATGGACAGTGCTGAGGTCTGTTGTAGAGGTAGTGCAGGCTTGGCAGGGCTTTTGAGTAGCTTGGAGAGTAGCCCATCTGTGCCTGTTTAGATGTCTTGAAGAAAATATATATTTGTGTGTAGAAAATCTTTTGAGGGATTTGAGTTGCATTTGGAAAGGCAGAAGCATGTTTTATTCACCACACTTTACCGGGGGATTCAGGAAAAATTAAAAAATAAAAATTCCCAGGGGTTCTAATCTTTTGACGATAGTTTGGAGAGTTAGTTGAACTGCGAAAATACATTGTTTTCAGGTTGCCTGACCCGCGTTAGTTTCTGTTCCTTGCACATACTGTCAGTACATAGGTCGTGCCCCTTTGGTGCTCAAAAGTGGATTTAGCTTACTTACGAATACACACACACACACACACACATATAAATCAAAGAAATTTAGCCTATTGGTAGGAGAAAAAAAGAAATCTGTGTACAGTCCCAACGAACCAAGAATACTAAATGCAATGCATCTTCAGGTACAAATGTAAACTATGAATAACATGGTTGAAATGTCTAAGAAAGTAAATTAATCATTTCAGAACCTTCTAGATTAGCTACCTCTAGCATTCTTCAACACAAATAATTGTACAGCATCTTACATATTTAAAGGTCAAGGAAGGATAAACTATAAAGACAACATTTGTTTTGTGGTGCGCAAACCATTCCTTTGTCTTTGAAACCATCCACCTAAAGAGCTGTGTCAATGCACCCCACTGTTGCTGTGAGAGATATCACATACTCCTGTTGAATGATCTTAGTCTTCTCTCCCATCATAAATCTCATATTTGGGCTACTTCTCATGAGGCTATTTATGATTTTCTTATTTTGCAAAGGATCTATTTTACCATCCTTATTTAGCAACAATCACCTTGTGAACATGTCATTTCAGGACAATCAAGCACTTGAAACAATAAACCATAAGTAGATATACCGTTTTCCCATAGAAGCTCTTTTAAGTTTTGATGCATATACGTGGCTAAATGAAAGGATCAAACTAATCCATGCTCCACTCGTAAGTCTAATTCTATGATAAAATGATTTACTATGGGTATCTCCTGAACGTTAGCTTAGCAAACAATTCATTTCTACAATGGTTAAAGAGGTTGTTTAGCTGAACTGTGTGATACACTGTTTCCAGGTTGCCACATCACGTTTGTTTCTGTTCCTTGCACACACTGTCTGTACATAGGTTGTGCCCCCTCGGTGCTCAAAGTGGATTTAGCTTACTTAACAAAACACACACACACAAATATATATATATATATATATTAGCCTTTTTGGTTGGAGATAACAAGAAATTTTCGTGTACAGTCACCACAACCCGGAAATACCAAATGCAATGCATTGTCAGAAACAAAAGTAAACCATGAATTATACCGCAAAGTTTAACAAGGTTGAAATATCTAAGAAAGTAAATTAACCATTTCAACACCTTCTAGATTAGGTACCACAAGCATTCTTCCGCATAAATGTGTACAGCGTCTTACAAATTTTTTGGGTATAGGAAGGATATAGACAATATTTGTTTTGTGGTGCTTAAACCATTCCTTCGTCCTAGAAACCATCCACCTAAAGAGTTGTGTCAGTGCAATCCCTACTGTTGCTGTGAGAGACATTACATTACTCCTGTTGAACGATCTTAGTCAACTGTCCCAGCATATATCTCATATTTAGGTTATTTCTCATGAGGCCATTTGTGATTTTCCCTACCCTTATCTTGCAAAGGATCTACTCTACCATCCTTATTTAGCAACAATCACTTTTTGGACATGTCATTTCTGGACAATCCAGCACTCTACACATCAAAACATACACAGATATACTGTTTTATCCATCGAAACCTCTTTTGAGGTTTGATATATATAGATGACTAAATGAAACAATCAAACCAATCGATGCTCCACTTGTCCAACTCCTATTCTATGATAACATGATTTGCTTTGGGTGTCTGAATCTCCTGAGTCCTGAACATCAGCTTATCGAACACTCCAATCCTACAATAGTTGGAGAGGTTCTTTAGTTGAACTGTGGATACACTGACCTCGCGTTTGTTTCTGTTCCTTGCACACACGGTCGGTACATGGGTCGTGACAATCATAAACACACATATAGATATAAATTTGAAAAGTTCAGCCTTTTGGTAGGAGATAACAAGAAATCTTTGTTTATAGTTGACACCAGCCAAGAATACCAAATGTAATGCATCATCGTGTACAATTGTAAACTATGAATTATTCCACAAAGTATAATGTGGTTGAAATGTCTAAGGTAAATTAACCATTTCATCACCTTCTAGATTAGGAACCTCTAGCATGCTTCCACCATTATTAATTGCACAGCATTTATGCACAGCATTTATGGGTTAAGGATAAAGACGATATTTGTTTTGTGGTGCTAAAACCATTCCTTGTCCTTGAAACCATCAACCCAAAGAGCTGTGTCAATGCACACTCAATTGTTGCTGTGAGAGATATCACATTACTGATGTTGAACAATCTTAGTCAACTCTCCCAAATCCCATCATCAATCTCATATTTGGGTTAGTTCTCACGAGGCTATTTATGATTTTCCCTACCCTTTTCTTGCAAAGTATCTACTTTACCATCCTTAGTTAGCGACAATCACTTTATGAACATGTCATTTCAGGACAATCCAGCACTCCACACAATAAACCATACACAGATATACCATTTCCCAATAGAACCTTTTTGAGTTTTGATAGATGATTAAATGAAACAATCAAACCAATCCATGCTCCACTAATCCAACTCTAACTCTATGATAACATGATTTAATTTGGGTATCTCCTGAACATTAGTTTAACTTATCGATAACTGTATAACTATCAGCCACCGGTATTTGTGTCAAACTGACAATTAGCACCAATGAGGCAAAAGACCATTTTTCATTACAGCAACTGCACTGCAGATCTTGTATGCCATGTGACTGACAAAAATCTAATGTTGCATAACTTGATCAAAAGAAACATAACAAATCCTAAAAGTTGTATCATATAATATATCAATCAACAGCTTTGCTACTTCATGGTTCAATTGCCTCATTTATATGGAAACTTTATTTGGTAAAATTTTGTCCATGAATGCATGTTTCATTGGACATAGCGCATCAGCAAGACCACCAAACAAGGACAAGTGAGGTGGAAAAATGCTCTCTGCGACTATTTAATCTATAGAGTAATGTTTTATGGTAAAAAGAGCATGAAATAAGATGTGGATTAATGCTGCAATCCTCCTGCCTGACTCCTTTTGAAGAAAATCATATTCCATTAATGACAGGATACCTTCCGCATTTCAGGAAAGCGGAAATATTGGAGGATCTTCTCTTCTTTCCTTCTTCTTCTTCTTTTCCCTTTTTTTCTTTCTTTTGGGTTGTTTTCAGATCTTGCAATTTGTTTATTTATTCTAAATGTACATACTGTACCCCCTCTATAAAGTCTAACTCATTAACCAGCACATATCACCTGCATTGCATAAATTAAAGTACTTATTCTATATAAGTAAATACTTAATCCAAAACGTGGGTAAATGCAAAACAAAGACTCGACGCCATGGTTTCGGAATCCAACATATTACAAACTCATAATGTACCTCCATCTATCATTCGTGCACTAGTTTGTCATAAACAAGTTCTTGACAGTTCTTTATTCATAACCAAGTATTTCATTCATGCATGCTCACAAGAACCAATATCCAGGTCTGAATTCATTAAATGATCTGACTCTATTACAAAATATTAAATAGGAGAACTTATTTTATTTGTAAGTAACTAATTTACCCAATACAAGGAGAGTTTTAAAGCAAAAGGCTATACCATCAAAAACAAACATATCAGAACCTCGTCTTTCTCGCTATCAATTGTTAAGTTCTAGTTCTTCAATCATAAATGAATTCTTCTTCATTCGTACAAGCCATGAGCACCACGTAGTTAACAATACAATAATAGCTTGTTAAAGACCTTCCAATAAAATGGTATACATCCATACCTGATTGAACTAAAATAAGAATACAAACCAACACAGACCACTAGTTTAAATGTTGAACAATTATTGCCACAAACACAAACAAATTCCTCATCCTCATCAGAAATGACAACTTCGAGAACCTCTTTTAAAAATTATTCAACCAAGATATGGCCAGCAAATTATTATGGATTTTAAATTGCAACCATATGTCGATCTGAAACCTTATATTATTTGTTTTATTTCATAGTTCATGTTTGCCATTCAGATTTTGTTTTTCAAGTGCTGAGATTATTCAAAAAGCATAATGCTAAGAAGGTTTAATAAAGGAATGAAACAAGACATAATTTAAAGTTTAACCAAGAAGTGATAATGAGCTTTAAAACACACATTTTAACAATGAACCACAACAGTGGATTAGTAGGGCAGTTTAGAAAGATAATGATGGCATTCGTTAGGAGAGAACATGAAAAAAATGAATTTGTTTCTCGCTTGTAATTTTACCTGGTAAGTTTGAAACTGTGGCTAGTTAAATGCAAAAAGGTTCTTTTTCGTCACAGAGGCGATGTAACAGCAAGCAATTCATGTAATCTAATACTCTATAACTAAATCAATGCAACGATACTTTTCAATTGATGCATTACTATGACATCATTGTATTTTCAGAGCATAGTGCTAATATACATGCAGCAAAAATATTAAATTCTTTGTTTCTGCTACTGCTAGTGAATGTCATGGTAATATACACCATTGCTATTTGCTAAGGGCTTGAATCTAACACCCAAACTCTATGATCTCAAGTCAATTCAGAGAATTAGAACCTTAAACGTCAGGCATCAATTATTCACCAATAATGACTCTAGGACTTACTCTTAACACCGGGAACATTATGCACCCAACTACTGTTTAAGTTCTAATGTTCCCTAAATACAACCTTCAAATATATTTAAATTCACAAAACCAGATCAAATTGCATCAACACAAATATATAAAAAAATATACATAACATACCATCGGCATCGCGAGGAGGTCCAGAACCACCGGAGATCTTCCCCTGAGCACCGGAAGGCGGGAATGTCTGGAGATTCGAATCTGAAAAAAAAAAAAAAAAAAAAACCTCCAAAGATCAGAACGAAATGACAGATCATATAGCAAGAAACAGAAAAGAAAATTAAATCCGGAGTTTGGAATTCCAAAAACTATACGTTACCAGAGAATTTGACTGTAACATGACCCGGATCTGACACGGACTGCGAAATCGAGAGAGATTATAGAGTGAGATCTGGAGAACTAATTTGAGATAATCTAAATGAGAATTATCAAGATATATAGAGAGAAAATTAGCGAGAGAATGAGGGAATTTACTGGTACAGATCCGCTGACTTGCTGATTATCTATGCTGGTGTAATTGCCTGACATCATCTTGTTTCAATCTTTATAAGTAATTGCTATTTTCTTATATGATTATAATTGGCAGCAAGGTAAAGAAATTTTCCTCTTTCTCTACGTGGGTTTGTTCTTCGCCTTCTGCTCCGACACAGATCTACTTCGTCTCGAATGCGTCAAACCCTTATTTCGTTTTCTGTGACCCCCAGTTTCAGCGTTTTGTCATATTTCTTCTCTTGGTTTTTTATTGGATAAGTGCCAAAATAAATAAGTTGACCACGTTATTAGTTTTGAATAATTTAATAGATGGTAAATACGAAAAAAAATAATAATAATAATAATAATAAATAAATCAGTATACAGTAACTAAATAAAACGTAATTACATATACGATAATTTATATAAAGTAATTTCGTATATGACAAACACCTAGGATATAATTTGCCCTCGGGCACTTGATTTGATTTTAGCAAATTACTATTGAATTACAATTATATTATTTAACTAAAAAAATTATTAAAAATTAAAAAGTCTAAATTGCCCACACTTTTTGGGTGATGAATTAACCCATTTGTGCCTCATTAAACACAAAGAATCCACTTGCATCAAACCATCCAAGCCAAAAAAAACGTTAGGCTTAGTTTGGTAGAGTGAAAATGGAAGAAAAGAGAAGGAAAGGTAATGGAGAGTGATTAAAAAACTTGTGTTTGAGTAAAATTGGTGGAAGGAAAGGAAAGGAGAGGGAAGGGTTTCGAAGGTTAATACAAGGCTTCAACAGTAGATTTCTTAACATCCCAAAAATGGGCGGGAACGGAAGGAAAGGGAAGGAGAGGATTGGTTAGTGATTTCTGATGCCAAATTTGCCCTTGATTACACACAAAACCCATACCTACAAGTTAGCAGTTGCAAAGAGAGAGGGGGGCAAGCTTGAGGTTTTGATTTTCTGAACAATCTGAAATTTTCTGAACAGCGGCGATGGAACTCGAACTGGGTTTTGAACTTTTGATTCTTGCAGACAGATGTGGGTTTTGAACTTCTGATGCTTTCACGGAGAGAAAGAGAGAGAGAGGGCAAGTTTTGAGTTGAGAACGAGAATAGAGATGGAGCGAGATGAGGCTGAAATGATTTGCCCCCTTTTCTTTTTTTTTTTTTCTTTTTTTTTCTTTTCTTGTGGCCATAGGAGACTATAAGACTATATATATATAATAGAGATGGAGGTGAGATAAGGCTGAAATGATTTACCCTATTTTTTTTATTTTTTATTTTTCTTTTCTTGTGGCCATAGGAGACTATATATATATATATATATATATCATAGAGATGGAAGCGAGATGAGGCTGAAATGATTTGCCCTATTTTTTTTTTCTTTTCTTGTGGCCATAGGAGATTATATATATATCTTAAAGTATAAAAGGGTATAATAGTCAATTTATTAAAATACTTTTTTTTCCTTTCTTTCCCTTCATTTTCCCAAACATAATTATTACCCTTCCCTTTCTTTTCCTTCATTAATCAACCAAACACAATACAAAATTAAAATTATCCTTCCCTTCCCTTCCTTTCCATTTCCTTTCCCTCATAACTAATATTATCCTTCCCTTTCAAACCCACCCTACCAAACATACCCTTAAGGTCAGTTTGGTGTAATGAAAAAGGAAGGAAAGGAAAGAAAAGGAAAGGTGATTGAGGGTGATTAAAAAATTATGTTTGTCAAAAATGGTTGGAAGGAAAGAAAAGGTTTTGGAAGGTTATCAATAGGCTTAACAATAATTTCCTTATCCTCCCAAAAATAGGAGGAAATGGAAGGAAAGTGGAGGAAGGGCTTGATCTGTTATTTGTGATGCCAAATTTACCCTCAAGATTACACTTGATTTTAGGGCAAGAGAGTTAAGAGACAGAGGGCCAGCGGCTGAAGTTAGCAGTTACAGAGAAAGAAGGGGCAGGGAAGAGAGTTGAGATACAGTGGGCCAGCGGCTGAAGTTTGCGAACGATGAACTCGAACTGGAGCAGCGGGCGATGGAAACTGAAAGATATAGGTTTTGATTTTTTGAACAATCTGAAATGATATGCCGATATGGGTTTTGATATAGGTAATAGGTTTTGAACTTTTGATTCTTGCAAACAGATATATAAACTAAAATATATATGGGTTTTGAACTTCTAATTCTTGTAGATTTTGTAGTTTGCAGTTGCAGAGAGAGAGAGGTCAAGTTGTATTTTGATAAAACTTATAGGTCTTGATGAAATTTTGGCATATTGTAGGTCTTGATTTGATCAATGCTATTGTCTTCTTTTTCAATGCTACTGTGATGCCTATGGGGATTAACTCTACTTTCCTTACCTTGATTCCAAAGCAAAATCATGGGGACAAAGTAGAAAATTACAGACCAATTGCTTTATGTAATTTTAGTTACAAAATTATTTCCAAAATTTTGGCAAATAGGTTAAGTGTTGTTCTTCCTAATATTGTTGGGTTGGAGCAATCTGCTTTTATCAAGGGAAGAAGAATTCATGATAATATATTGTTGGTGGCTGATGTGATCAAAAATTTTGGATTGAAGACAACAGGTCCTGTTATGGCTTTGAAGGTGGATCTTAGGAAAGCTTATGATTCTGTTAGTTGGGATTTCATACCAAAAAAACCTCCAGTTATATGGTTTTAGTAATAAATGGATTCAGTGTGTTGTTCAATGTGTTACTTCTTCTAAGTTTTTAGTGTTTTGCAATGGGGTGCCTATTGGTTATTTCTCAGCTGGGAGAGGTCTTCTACAAGGCTGCCTTCTTTCTCCTCTTTTGTTTACATTAATTACTGATCATTTCTCAACTCTGATGCATGATAAAATTGTGGGAAGGCAGATCAAGCTATGTAATGTTGTTCAGAAAACTGGAATGTTAGTTTCTCGTGCATTTTATGTTGATGACCTATTTATTATTGTGAAGGCAAATATCTCTACTACTAAGACAGTTGATGAGCTGCTTAAAAGGTTTCATAAGGTATCTGGGCTTGAAGTGAATAAAGATAAGAGTTCCATCATATTTTCTAAGGCTATCAGGAGGAGAATAAGAATTTTACGGATTTTACAACTGAAAGAAGAAGCTTTTCCTATAAAATATCTTGGAATTACTCTAATGAACAGAGTTTTGAAGAGTGTTGATTGCAAAGGATTATTTGATAAAGTAAATGCAAGGTTGGATCACTGGAATACTATCAACCTTTCCCTTGTAGGTAGAATTGAGCTCCTTAGATCAGTTCTATATTCATTCTTATATCATTGGATATTTGGTTTCAAAATATCCTGGGGATGCATTACTGCTTTGGAGAAAAAGTTAAAACACTTTTTATGGAGTGGTAAGTTAGACTCAAGAAAGATGTCCCAACTAAAATGGAGTCAAGTAACTCTCCCTTATGCAAAATGTGGCTTTAATCTACGCAGAATTTCTGACATTGATTTTGCAGCTAAGGTTTCAATCTGTTAGGATATTCTGAGGAACAAGAAGACTTTATGGGTGCAATGGATGCATGCTAGATACTTACAGTATCATAATTTCTGGATAGTTCTACCAAAACCTCAAGACTCCAGTATTTGGAAACAGATTCTGGATACAAGAGACTTTTTTCAAGAAAATGTGGTGTTTAAGATTGGAAATGGTGGATCCTTTAATATGTTATTTGATCCTTGTTGTGCAGGTCTATCATTGGTACAGAGATTTAGGGCAACTATGTTTAGAAATTTTGATAAACAAGCTACAACAACTACTCTTCTTGTTGATGGTGGATGGGTTTTACCTATTTTTTTCCTAGAACCTGCTGTTACATTTATTGTTAATATCACTCCAAAAGCTGGTAACGATGAGATTTGTTGGATGCATGATGTGTTCAGTTTGAAGAATGCCTGGATAACTTGCAGGGCTAGAGGGCAAGTGGTTCGGTGGAAAGGTCTGTGTTGGAAATATTGTAGACCAAGGATTTTTGTGGTTTTTGCAATTATCATGCATAACAAAAATCTTTCTTTTGTTAATTTACAAAGAAGGGGTTTCCATGGACCATCAGTATGTCATAACTGTTTTCAGGCTGAAGATAATAATAATCATTTATTCTGTACTTGTGTGTATGCTATTGATGTCTAGCAGCAGATTGTTTTTTGGTTGAAAATTCCTAATCAAAAGTTCCAAGAGCTTAATTTGTTTGTGGATTAGATTCTGCAGATTACATAGCCTAAGGGTTTTAAGTTCAAGTTGTTGAAAAGGTTCTTTGTTGTGTTTGTTTGGAAGATCTGGATGGTGAGTAATTCAGCATTACATTGTGATACAAAAGTTTCCTCTACTGCTGCTGCAAATGATATAGTTTGGGAAGTTTTAAACTTCTTTTCTATTGGTCTTGCTGATTTCCTTGTTCTTTTTGATGTGGTGTAATGAAGCTTTGCTGGTCGATTTGTTGCTGATAGAAGTTTGGCTGCATATCTAGTTTGAGTTCAGCTAGAATGGAAGGTCATGACATCAGTTTTTATGTATTTTGACAAGAATTTTCAAGTACAACATGGTCTATTTAAAGGTTTTCATAATGGGATGTTTTAGTCTGTTTAGGTTTATTTTGTTGTGCTATGTAAATGGACTTAGTCCATTTACTTTTCTTTCTGCTGGAGAGTTCATCTCCTATTAGTAATTGTACTACTTTTTCTTTTATATATAAATGGTTTATTTTGATGGATTAACAACTACAGTGTTCATCATGGGGGAAGGATATGGTGTGGTTGGGATCCTCTAGTGTTTGATGTCTAGACTCATGATATTAGGGCTCAAGTTATACTACTAAAGGTTACAATTCGAACTAGAGGAGTGAAGTTTTTTGTGGCTATTGCATATGCTGCTAATACAGTGGTTGAAAGAAGACAATTGTGGAGTGATTTGTTAAATTTTTTTTCAGATTGTTCATGGGGCTTGGATTTTAATTGGTGATCGGAATATTGTGAGGTATAATCATGAAAAGAAAGGGGGGAAAGATCATCCTCCTGGGTTTCTCAAAGAATTTAACCATTTGATTGATGTTCTAGGTATTACTGATATACCAGTTTTGAATGGAAGTCACACTTGGTGTAATAATCAGTTTAGTAGGCAAATGATTTATGGCCAATTGGATAGAGCTCTTATGAATGATGCTTGGCATAACTCCTTTCCTGTTTCTCAAGTATTGTTAACCCCTCATTTAATTTTTGATCATTGGGGATTGTGCGTGTAATGT